ATTACATGTTGCTGTGACATTGCTGGAACGTTACATTCACAAGCTCCACTATTGATCGTCCGTTCCATTAATTGCTACAACTTTTCATCAACATAGCTTTGAAATTTGTTTAGTGGGAGAGTTTCAACTATGATCCATCAGACTTCCCGAGCTTCAGTCTGTTCCGCGGGCAGGAAAGATGACGTCAATATTGTACGACCTCTAACGTTACCTCTAAAAGTTATTATGAGGCATCTGTCTAGTATATTGATCTTGACCACCGAACAAGTTGATGTTCGGTGTCTTGACCCACTATCAGCTGCACATACCATCAGACGTTCCATCTTATCTATAACAACCACTAGTTACTGCCAGGCAAGTAGGCTCTCATGGTCTTTTTTTGCCAATAACAAACACAGAACTCATTTTCAGTTTGCCTCTTCCTCTTATAGTGACGTAACTGTTATTACTAGCGGTATTTTCCCATAAAAGTTGTTTCAACTATGAACTAGAGCACATACCATCATCGTCCAACGTTATCCATAAACACTAGAACTGAACCCAATTTTAGTCTGCAAATCTTCTTTTTATAGTGAGTGAGTTTTTATAGTCGAGAAGGATGCACTGCCCAGTGTAAAGGGTTCCTAGAGAACCTCATCAGATATTTGGGGCAATATATTATGGGTCACTCTGTCTACAAATCGGATGTTCTAATATGACTCCCTAGAGAGAAATTCGCTGATATCGTTGGATTATATGAATAATTGTATAATTTGGATATGTTGATCGTTGAGTACTGAAAAGAATGAAAACACAGAAAATCAAGAACAAGCTCGCGTCATATGCAGTGGGGAAACACGGTGACGTCAAGATAATTCGACCTTGAGGAATCTGTCTAGTTACTCTAGTACATTAATCTTGGCCCACTATCAGCAGCACATCCCATTAGTCATTTGACGTTATATAACGTCACTATAGAGTAGTATAGTATGTAGTGAAGAGGCTACTGCCAGGCAAGTAGGTCCTCATTGGCCCCTTTTTGCCAATAGCAAAAACCAACACTAAACTCATTTTCAGTTTCCCTCTTCCTCTCATAGTGACGTCATTTGTATCATTACCGGAATTTTCCCATATAAAATTTTCGACTACAGGAAAAAAAGTTTTGTTGCACCAACAAAATAATTTTGGTAATTTTTTGTTGTTAAATTGAAGACAATTTTGCGAAATCAATAAAATATATGTTCATTCCAAATAAGCAACCTATTCAAAGAGACAAAGTAATTTGATTGAAATATTTGCTTACTTGAACAAAAGTTTCATTTCATTCATTCAATCATTTCATTGTGCAACCAATCAAAGGTTCGACAAAATTGAATTGATCATGACAACCGAGATGACAACATTATATTTTGTTGATTCAACACATCACTATCAAGAAATATGCTGTTATATCAAACAAATTACTTTGTTGAACAGAACCCACAAATACATTATATCAAACGAATAGTTTGTTGAATGATTATCCAGTTGCATTTTTGCCACCAGGTGGCGTTTCTTCCAACCTTCCCACGCTCGCCTCGATTGGGCTGTACATATACCTACCTAAAACATCCGTTTATATAATTATATTAGACTGTCCTAGAATTCCCCATGACGCTTATACAAGCTAATAGTCCTGAATAAACTGAGGAAATTGATCTATAATTTCTCATAGTTTTGAAATTCAGTTATTGGATTTTTTTTCAATATTATTCAGCAAAATATTTTGTCAATTCTAGATACAATTTGGTTGATCGAAGAAAATTTTGTTACCTGAATGGAATGATATAATCATTTCAATCCACTGAATCGTTCATAAGAGCAGATATTGTATTATAGGAACAAAATGGTCTTTGTATATTCAACCCATTCCTGCTGTTGATTTGAATCATCAATGTGTTACATCAACTGAATTTTGAATTGAAAACGGTGCGGTGACAAAATATTTTGTCGTGGATATATGACACTCAGAAATTTTGTAGTTTCAAACAAAAAAAAAATTCTGTGTATGACCCAGTGGACTTCCAGAGTATAACACTGATTCTTTGATGAAAGTGATCATAGTTTTACTGAGAGCAGGCCGAATTAATCCGGAATCTAGGCAACAAAGTCATTGTGTGATTGAAGTCGAGGAGGACGTACTGCCCAGTGGAAAGGATTCCCTGACCCCCCATCAGCGGTCCGGGGTGATATGGGGGCGAGTGGGGGTGAAAACGGCGCGCTCAAGCCGTAGGGGATGAGGGAACATTAATATTGCGAAATGAAGCTCATTTGCATTTAAATAAGGTAGTCGAAGCGAAGGGAGCGGCTAGAGGGGCACTAATTACACTAACTACACAAAGAGCTCTCGCTTGGCTGGCCGCTGTCCGATCTCCTCTCGCCCTTCTACCCCATTCCGCCCTTAACCCTTATTATACGAGAACACAGACTATTCCCTGCTTGATTATCATTATACTGGAATAGATTATGCAACGGCGAATATATTACGGCAAGCGATGTACTGAAATGTTTTGTTTCTTATTCGGAGTTCTGGACACTACCGGACATGGTTCGTTGTAGATACGGAAAATGGTCTCGAGTCCAGGATTACTTTAATTAAGCCATAAATTTGGATTCGTGGGGATCATGCTGTTGGATGAATACAATTATGGTTAGTGAAATAATACGACGTGGTATCTCTTCTACTGATGTGGAAATTATTATAATTCTAGATTCATTATCATGCTGAAAGCTGAAAAAATTGAAGCAATAATTGTCGACCCACCAGGGATCAACTAGCGACTTAGGAACTATTGTCAAGAAGAGCTAGAATAACCGTATTCATATTTGCAAATATCTATCGAAATATAGATGAAAACAATATTTCAAAAATGGTGGTTCAGTTATCTATATTGGATTTAGATAGACCAAATTGTTCATCAAAGAATCTTCAGAAAAATTCAATGCGTAACTGGAAGACCAAAGACTGTCAATTTTCAGGATAAAAGTGAGGTTGGTCACTTTGAGCACAGTCGCCTGAGAAGGTATATGGCATGTGAATGTCATCAACTTGAAAAAAGAACACAGTGAGCAGGTCTGTGATGAACAATGAAACCAAAATCCGCAAGCAGGTGCCAATGTCAAAAAGCTAGGCAGCATTTAGAAAACGAAATTCCAAATAATCTTGAAAAGGTTGACCAGGGTAAATACTAAAGAACCTGAACAATCTAAATATGAATGATGAGAATATAAGAGAACACAGAATACTCCCTGCCTAATTATAGTTATACTGAAATAATACGACGTGGTATCTCTTCTACTGATATGGAAATCATCATAAATCTAGATTCATCATCATGTTGAAAGCTGAAAAAATTGAAGCAATAATTGTCGACCCACCAGGGATCAACTAGCGACTTATGAAATATTGTAAAGAAGAGCTAGAATAACCTTCAGGATAATAGTGAGGTTGGTCACTTCTGGCACTGTCGCCTAAGAAGGCATATGGCAGGTCTGTGATGAACTAGAAAACTAAAATCCGCTAGCAGGAGCTAATTTCAAAAAGCTAGACAGCATCTAGGCAACAAGATTCCAAAAAATCATGAAGGAACTCGCTTCTGGATGAATACGATTATGGTTAGTGGAATGATACGACGATATCTCTTCAACTGATATGGAATCCAACCAATACGGATCTAGATTCATTATCATGTTGAATTTTGAAGAATTGGAGCAAGAGTCGACTCTCCAGAAGGCAACTAGAGACTCGTGGAATATTGCCAAGAAGAGCTAGACATGCAAAATGGAATAACCATAGCATGGGTGTACCAGATCTTGAAAGCTTGATGAACTAGCACAAACAGCATATCTGGGTGGAGCACATACCGATCGAAACATGGAGAGAACCAAGATTCAAATAATGGTAGCTCAGCTATTTTATAGAGGACTGTGACAGACCAAAATGTTCATCAGAGGACCTTTGGCCAAATCGTCAGGATAATAGTGAGGTTGCTTACTGGGCATTGTCACCTCAGTCACCTAGAAGGCATATGATATAACACAGTGGGCAAATCTGTAATGAATTAGGAAATACCAAAATCCGCTAGCAGTGGCAAGCAGGCGGGGATGCCAGAAAAAACTAAGCATCTTATTGTAGGCAACAAAATCTCAAAGGATTTTGAAAATGGTGACCAGGGTTATGCTAAACAAATGTGTCTGTATTTCTCTTAGGTTGAATTCTGGATATAAGTGACTTAGTACTATAGAACAGGTGACCGTTGATTCCTGGTGTCGGAAGCCATACTGGTGATCTGTAAATAATGTTCGATTTTCAATTATCATTATATTCCCTTGTTGATATCTTTATCGATGATCAAGGTAACCATCACTTGAAGAGAGTTGGAGACTGTTTGTTCTATGACTCAAGTATTTTGGCTATGTGATAATGGGATATATATTAATGCATAACATTACGTATATAGGGGTGAATAGAAATTTGATCTTTGGAAGATCAGTTGAAATCCAAAGTAGAGTTAGCAAAGAACATGGTAGAGTACATATTGGTTTCACTCTGCAATCGACATCTGATGTATAACCATTTCTTTGGTTTGTATTATTGAAGAACTTGCAAAGGTCGTCTCTATTTCTATAGCTATGGTATTTTTGAGTGAAGCTTATCGTACCCCAATGAAAAAAAGCGATATTCTAGCCACAAATAATCAGACTCATCCATGAAAAACCTGATAATTATATTGGGTGAGGCCACTAGCCCAGGCACTATCACTATCCCTCTGACTGTCCTCAAATCCTTCTACTTGATAAATAACAATTTGTCGACTTTCAAGAGAAGGCTCGACCAATATTCGTCCCTAGTCAATATCATCTTCGGTATACTTAGCACTAGATAAACTACACTTGATCGTTTGGTCTCGTTCCTGCTTACTCTCCTCCTTCATAACCTGCTTCCACTCTAGATATCTAATGGTGATGATGATTTGTTCCAGGAAAGTGACTGTGAAAGCAGCGTAGGTTCTCCTGAGCCAGCATCTTTAGCCATGGGCGCTGATACTGGTACTGATCTTAGCATGACAACCAGAAACGTCCATCAGCGGTTAGAAGCAGCGAATGCAACTGAACAGACCGTGTCTCCTAATAGTTCTGCTACTGCTCATATCAATGGAACTAGTGAGTTGGTTTTCAACTTATATAAAGAATAAAATGTTAACATCATTTGTCGAAATGTTGGAATGTAATAGCATTATTCAAATAGATGTTCAATGTTGTATTCAGGTCGAACATTTTCTATAATGTTTCTTCGAAATGATTATGTTTCCAGTGGCTGGACTAGTCTCGCTGCAGAATCTCCAGAACTTGGCATCGCTACAGAATCTTCCACAGGTGGCCTCTTTAGCCGCAGGCCTTTCAAATATGGCGAATCTGTCTGGGAATCCCGTAGTTAATGCACCTCTGAATCTCAGCGTCAGTGCATCAGGTAATCATTATTAATTATCTTATTCTTTTCGAGCACAAAACGTAGATTCATGAAAAGATATGTTAGGGAGCACAATTTCGAAATTAAGTGTGAACATTAAGGTTTCCACTCATCGAAGGTAATGCCAAAAAATTTTAGAGGTTACTGGTGTTCTTCGAAGTCTGGTTATTGTTAGGAAATAGAAGTGGTTCAATAGCATTCTGGAGAATTTGCATCTTATCAACGTTAAAAAATAAATCATCATTGAAATAGTTAGATGTAGAGGTTACTGTATCACTAGGTATACACTTTTCGATCATTGATAAAGAATCAGGTGTAGGTAGAAACAATCAAAGATAAATCATTTGCTCAAGCAGTTTACTTTATTGAATCAAGAACAGAGTCAATTTGATTGACGTATAATATTAATATTATTGGACCTAAAATGGAACCTTGAGGTACTCCAATATCAGTAGCAATAGATTCTGAATAAATCTTTGACATTTTATCATCATCAGGATGTTGTAACGAGACGAATTGTTCACGATTTTTCAGAAATAAAGAAATACAATTCGCCCCCTCACACTATATAGTTTTCTAGAGCTTTGTGTGATTGACGCAGTGGAACGTCCTGCTTAGATCACAAAATATAACTGCACGGCATTCGCCTGACTCAATAGATTAGATTATTGTTTTGAACAATGATAATAGCGCAGGAGAAGTTGATTTTCCCGCTCGTAAACCATGTTGGTTTTCACTCAATATATAATTTTTCTCAATAAAATTTATGAGTCTATTTAAAAAAGCATATTCGAAAATTTCAGACATTGAGTATGGAACAGTTATTGGTCTGTAATCTTTCAGTATTGTTGGATCATCTTTTTATGTATAGAAACTACTTTTCCTGTTTTGATTACTCTAGGAAAACTACCTTCTCAGAAGGACAAGTTAATTATAAATGTTAAAGGATATATTTTTGCATGAAGAATTCACTTCAGAAGAAAAACTGAAAATTCATCAAGACCAGAGGACATTCTGTTTCTCAACCTTCTAGATAATATATCATATAACTCCTGTTCAGTAAATGTTTGCAGAAATAAATATGTAGATTGAAGTTATTGGCATGAGTTTGCATTGTGATATTATTACGATCTATTTGTTTCATTAAATTCATTGGATCACTCAAGAAGAAATTATCAAACTCTGCTGCAATTTGCTGAGTATCATTGATTGATACTCCATTTTTATTGATTACTATACTTTTCGTAACTTTTCTACAATTTGTTAATTCAGAGATCACATCCCAAGATGCTCTCTACTAATTATCGACTTCAGTATTTTTTTGATAATAATCTTTCTTCGTTTTATTCACCAACGCTATATAATCTTTTTTTGCCCTTCGATAAGTGTCATTCAGAGAATGGCTAACTCTTTGAGGGAAGAATATTATAGAATCGGTTAAACATTGTTTATTTCAACAGTTATTACTATAATATTTTCGTCTCTGAATATTAACATCAACATGAAACATGAATATGTCATAAAATGACTCAAAAGCTTTATCAATATCTTCCATATTATTCACTAGTATATTATGGAATTTTTGTTCTGGAAAATCGGTGAACGAGTTCCAAATCACGAGGTGTTGTGGGTTGATATCGCACACTCTGTATATGACCATTCAACGAATTATTTTTCAGCGACGATACCACGTAGTAATCAACTGAGCAACATGCAAGAATCGCCTGGCATCATGACGAATCCCATGAACTCTCAACCTCCCACCCCCAATGCTATGCAACCTTCCAACCCCCTTCTCACACCTCAGCAACCAGCCACGATGCCACAGTTCATCTTGGCTTCCGGTCATCTAGTACAGGGCATTCAAGGAGCGCAACTGCTCATACCAACATCACAAGGTAATTATCAATCATCAAGAGGAATTTTATGTTTTTTCCCATGTATGTAGGTGATTTATTGTTGATTAGAAATATTAGTGATACGAATTTTGCTTTGGTTAATTTGGTTAAGATACAAGATGGTCCAACTAAAACAACGATTTGTCTGGTTTCTTCATCCCCGTAACTTCAACCTCCTTCCAGGGGGAAGCACAACCCAATGATTTTGATGTTGCGATACCTCATTCCCAAGATTTCATCGAGTACCATCTGATTTGCGTCAACATTTTCATCGACAACGAAATGAGAGATGAAATAATAGAACGAGGCAATGTCGAATTTACCTCGAAAATATCATTCGAACTGAGGTATATCGAACAGATAGTGCGTCCACAATTTTTTCTCTGACAACAAATAACAAATGAATAAATACTTGTCGAATCCTACTCTAATTGATATATTCTTGACTCCTCCTTCCGATTGAAGTTTGAATAATTATGAAATGATGCTGAATTCGAGAAAAATATTGAATTGAATATATTCCACTTTTTGTGGAAATCTGTCGCTCATGTAACGGCAAAAATACATTCAATGTTTGCAGATCACAATACAACACAGCACAGCATAATGTAAAAAGAAAATATGTTGATATTGAGCCATCACACCAAATGAATTATAAATATCATTATAGAAAATTCATTCAATTTAATTTCTTGCAACAAAGTGATAATTCATGAGATCTCGCATGCTGATAATGTAATTCTAAAACATATTATATGCCATGGCACTATTAACCATTTATTCACAAATGAAGAAAGTGTTCACATGCTTCTGGCTATATAATATTGAAGTTTGTGTACTGGGCAAAAAGAAAGTTTTTGGGTGGAAAGGAATATAAGTTTATTGTTTATTCAGTCAATTGGTTATGTATATTCTTTGTTTAGTGTTATTATTGTTTTTCTACATCATTGTGCAGATGATCATCGTTCTAAGATGGGTATCAGATACAGATAGTTCGACAGAAAGGATCTATCTGATGTTGTAAATATTCAATATAAAATTTTGCCCGAAAATGAAAATTGAAAACTTATTTATAATTGTTATTCTTCGAAGAAACATATGATCTTGATGTCGTGGAGGGTCTCCCAGCTCAGGTACTTGTTTTTGGTATGGAAATGCAAACACTTCCTGAGATTGCAGACCTAAATATACACCTCTTTTCTGCACTTTTACATAGATCATAGATCTAACCAAAAACGAACCTAGGCTGATAACGTATCAATTCAACGAATTGGATGGTGCAGGAACAGATAGACGCAGGTATACTAACTCACTATAGAATTCATAGATAGGTCAATATTTTCATATTTATAATAGGCCTGTTCGTGTGTGTTTGCCCTACCTGCTGAACTTGAGTTGCTTCGATCACTTTCTCTGTTAATATTCCGCCATCAACAGAGACAACTATGGGGACAAAATCAACTTCAGCAAGTTCAGCAACATAAACGAACAGACCTAATAGTTCCATGGAGAACCCCTCGATCGAACTATGGGGACAAAATCAACTTCAGCAAGTTCAGCAACATAAACGAACAGACCTAATAGTTCCATGGAGAACCCCTCATCGATGGAATTCGCGGTTTTGGGAACCGTGGAATATACAGAAACCTCAATTAGAAAAAAAAGTTTCAGGTTCGATCTTTTCAGATAATTCTCTTTACAGGTTTGGCAACCCAAACGATTCTGACAATCCCAGTAAACCACGTGAACAGCACCGATCAGATGGTCAATTTGGCGCTAAATAATGGTCAAGTAATGCAAACCTCACTGGCGAATCTACAAGCTATGGCTCAAACCAATTTATTGAATACATCAAATACACCTGGTACGTTGATATCAACCAATTATTATGGATTTACGAAACGAAGCAGTTATGCCATCGTATGGCATTACTTGAATAATTGCTCATTATATATTTTATGTAATATTGGGGCAAAATAATTTATAAAAAGGTTATACAGTGCCATCCATTGAGTCCCTAACAAACATGTTACGTGATCACTGCGTAGGACGGTAAATTAAAAAACAGTTATTTCAACAAGTTGCTCAGAATTCAATGTTACATACTCACATAAATTGAAAATAGCTATATAGGTATTTTTTTCGAATATTTTTTGAACTCGTTACAAATACCTATTTTTTAACGAAACAAAAAATCTACAGTAGTGATACGCTTGTATTTTGGAAATAAAAGAATAATTTGGCTTGCTTCGCACCAGATTGTGAAAATGATCAGAATATTCCAGATGTAATAATGCATGAACTTCAGGAGGCTAATGATATTCCAGTTTGATTACAAAGTGAGACATTCGTTCACTGTTATCAGTGATACCTGATGACCAAAAAATACGATATTCTTGAAGTGTTATATCATCACAATAGTGGCTACATTCTAATATAACTGTTAGATGCTAACAAATGTAACAGAGAGGGGCATGGCAAAACATTTTTCTTTCATGCTACATGCTATCTGGGGGGAGAGAACGGAACTGTTCCTTTATTAGCACTCTACTGTCAACCTATCGAGGATCAAATAATTTGATTTGATACATTGCCATCTATCCCGAGTTTTCGTCTATTCATAATGATCCTTCGCCATTCACCATCATACCAGTGATCACGTGACATGTGTCAGAATCGATTTCTTGGTTATCTGACATGCATAATTGATCGCCGACAAGACATTTTTTGATGCTCTGATGATAACTGTTATAGACTATGATACTGTATATATGTAGAATTGTATTAGTCATTTATAATGAAGTGAGAGAAGAGAAGAGGATCACACTAGAATATCAAGTTTCAATGTCTACGTCCTGTCTGATTGAAAGATTGTTCATTTTCCCTTCTGGCCTGAAGAACTTACCCACATATAAACAAATGAAATACTTACACATTGGAACTTTCAACTTCAACATATTTACGACAACAAGGCTAAGGTTACCATATTTTCATGCATCGACCTCATTTTCCACTTTCACTTCGAAAATGCTGAACTGAAGACATTTAGAGTAATTCAGACCATTCCACGAGATTCACGTAGCACATGGCTGATTCTCAACTCATTTTCAGTACCTCCAACGTCGAACGGCCACCTCATGAACCCAGCGACACTAACCCACCTACTATCCAATGGATCAGCAGCCCAACAACTACTGCAAACCCTCCCCCAAATGCTCAACAACCACCACTCGAACCCCAACCCCCCACCAATCATGAACCCCCTATCCCAACCCCTACTATCCACCACCCCCACTTCTCAACCGGGCAGCCAGCTCAGGAGCCAGAGGGGTCCGAGTCCGATGAGCAACAGCCCAATCAGCGCTGGTCACATGACCGCAGGACCTCTGAATCCCAGCCAGATGAACAGCAGTCACTACGCGGACAGCAAGCTGCATAATCCTAGCATGCCGATCAACGCTCCAGCTGATTTGATGAATGGAGGCAGGATAGCGAGTAATGGAGAAATACATGTTGCCACCTCCCACGGGAATAGCGCTAGTATCATGAAGAGGTCGCCCAGTTCCCTCTCGCCGAATTGTACTGACAGTTCGACAGCTGATCTTCTAGTGGATTCGCCAAGTAAGTGTTCGTCTCCTTATTTGTATCTTCTCAGTTATAATAATAATAAAGTTCATTCAAGTACATTGAAGGTAATTCACAGCTTCAGTAATTGAAATCATAATAGTTGAGAATGATTGCACAAGAAATAAACGAACCCCCACAACAGTTTTCTTGCTCGTGAGTATCATTATATTTTCTTCACGAAATGAAATTTATCCCTTATTGAGTTTTTTTTTCTATGAAAATAATTTTCACGTTGATTTCTCACAATGATCTAAAAACAACTGTCGCAATAGGTACTGTAATTTCATCATTAATATTTCTTGAGATTTATAATATCATGAATATCAGGTCTCGAGTTACTATGCAGCCATCTAGTGAATACAGCCTTGAACTGTTTAAAAGTGCGCTTTTCTTTGAGTTCGTTCTAAAGATGGTTGGATACTCGTGGAGTTATATATGTATAACATCGCTGCCCAATTACTTTTCGTCTTCTGGGCGCAACTGCTCGGTTTGGAGTTGTGCCTTTTTCCTTGATCGTTACTTTTATTTTTGAACCAGTTTAGTGCTATTTGTTTATTAAAAAGTCATGTCATTTTTTCTCGAAAACAGTTTTATGCGAGAAGAAAAAATGAAATTTGGAAACCACCTTAGCTCCCAAATCATATGATGATGAGCTTGCGAAATATTGAACATGGATATTGTGGTCAATAACTAAACACAAATGAGGTAGAAATGTGCAAAATGTGAAAGGTAATCCATGAACGAGTATGGGGAAGCAACAAAATGAATTTTGTTATATATCTCTAAAACTAAGATGTATTATAAAAAAAATGTAATTAGAAAAGAGTTAGATAAATGATTTTTTTATTCATTGGAATATCAAAATAAGGTCAGTGGGGTTCTCCAAAAAAGTTATATCAATTTTCATCAAACATAATGTGAAATACCTGTCTTCCTGTGTATTGACATGGATGTCATGCACATTTATGATAGTAAATCGTCCCACGATTTTCAGATCAGCACCTTCCAAGAATTCTGAAATATTCAGGAAAATCTGTTCTCTGGCGACTCAATAACGTTGCATTTTCGTATATTTTGATGTCTTGTTCAACCTGTAGAATTCATGGTACGTTGTTCTGGGACACCTTGTACATATGATTTCTGAAACATAGAATATTTTTATGTCAGTTATAATATGTCATCAGTGTAGGGTGTTCACCTGACAGCATCAGTCCTTAACAAGGAATTTGGTTGTTTTTTCAGGTGTAGTTGTCTACTTGGTGCTATTATATCAGCAATCAAGAACGAATATCGTGAATCTTTGAATATGCCTACTATATTTGGATATATCGAGTGTATATAGCGAATGACAGGGTGCTAACACTTACCAATGTTAAGCAAAATTGGTAACTATTGAAATCTTGTGTTTTCCTAAATAATAACATAGACTACAGAAGATAAACTATAAGACAGTTCACTCGTTCATTTTTCGACTTCTAAGAGATCTCGCCGCAACCTAGCCGACCGCTGGATTCTGCCGGCTAACGACTGCCGGGGCCTTTGAAATCGCAATCTAATTAGCTGTCAACCGACCGCAACCGTTTGGCGGTGCAATGATTTATAGAAAAGCAAAAAATGCAATGTTGGGCTGTACCGACAAACGGATTTCACTAAGTGAACTATCTTCTAGAATTCAGTAATCTTTGATAATAATCCTGACGTTGGGAAATCTATTGATCATAAGTAAAAATTATGTTAGGCAGGTGCACGCCATTGCGTTGAAATTCTTGAAATTTTATCTTCACTCATTCATACTCGAAAAGCAATGGAAAAACAAGTGTCGCAGGTGTCATTATTCGGAGATCGCTTTATAGGGTGATAAAACCGCTTTATGCTTCCAAATTTCCTTCTACATAATCTATCAGATCTAAGCAATCTATACGATCAAACTCTGATGGCATAGGATATAATTTTTCTCTCTCTCGCATCCATTATATACAAGGAGATATTCTACACAGTAAACTATGCACGGACATGTTTTCGCAATAATTAATTCACTGTTAAGGGTGTTAGCCTTATTAAAGCGGGGATAATGCATTAATGCATAATTTTGTTCAACTTTGGAATAATTTAACTCCTGGAACTAGAATGTCAGAGTCAGTTCCTGGAAACTTATTTCATTGAATATATTGCCAACAGAAATGTTCAAAAACTTATTTTGAGGTGTCTTTATGTAATGCAGTTATAGAAGGGGGTCACTGGTGATTTTTCCAGTTCAGACAATACATTCATTGGTTTCAGATTTCGTAAATTCGTAGGAAGAATTAATTCAATCGAAAGAGGATTCAGAGGAAATAGTATATTGTGCAACAAGTGGGGAAAGTCCAACTTTTCTCACGAGTGTGAAAGTTTGTGGCACGAGCCTGAAGGGCGAGTGATGCAAACGCACGAGTGAGAAAAATACTTTTCCCCACATACTGCACACTATACTTTTTCTACAACTGCACTTATCCAAAGAATCCAAGTAATGTAACTTATTGGTATTCATTTCGCCTCTCTTAGTTCTTCAAAGTATTTCAAAAAAGTACACTTTCCGAAAAAGATTTTATTTATGTATTTTTTTTTTAGATTCCATGAATTTTTCGTATATGCCAATTCATACTTTTTCTTGAACTTTCCGGGAACAAATCCAATTTTCGCAGCTTTAACTGTGTCTCTGTGGCGGTGTTTTTACTAAAATCGTCACATCTGGGTATAAACAACATATTATTTATTATGAATTGTTGGAATAATATTTGATGGAAACTGCGATTCCTTTCAAGAGCACTAATGAGAACTATCCTAAAGAATTTAAAAAACTTCTTCTGACAGTTGTGACAACTATTCAAAGCTGAACACCAGCCAATTAAGTCTTGGTCGATTTTTGTTGATTCTCCATGGAAATGTATGTGGTGTTGGCAAAGTGCAGTGAGAAAAAATATTTCTCACAGTATGAGCAATACATGGTTTTGAAACTGAGTAAGCTATGAGAAATGCACTACTTTTTAATTTTGAAAAAAGTGATGTTCCATGATTTCGAATCAATTCGCTTCCAAATATCTGACGTTTCCGAATTTCATCAGGTGAGAAACCCTAATTGAATCGGACTTTCAGATCTCTTTGGACTCATCATTCTGTAATAAGATATTGAAAATTGAAATGCCCTGTACATACTACGTGAGATCATGGAAAAACTGGCTATGAGCAACAATGATACTTATCGATCTAAATATAAACTTCGACTCATTACTTTTGATGAATTCAAATATAGTAAATTATGCGCATCAGATATTAACATTAACAATGATATGTTAAAGCCTTTAGAATGACGTTATTGTTATACAAATTGGGTAATAGATTTATTTGTATTATTCTTCTTTTATTATGGTAATAACCACTTATGCCTATTGGTTCAATTAACACAATTGCTGGATGATAAAATGGTTGATTCTGGAAAAAACTGTTATATCACAAGAGCCAATTGGCAGTTAATTAATATTAATGCGTTCTGGTCATTTGATTAGTGCTGGATTAGCCAGATAATAGTTAATTTCGACATGATCGTAATTATTATAGACAACTGGGAAAACAAATGGGGCACGAAAAGAATGAAAATCGATCCAAGATGACGAGAATGCACGAACATGATATAAATTGTGCACCTAAATAGGGTTGGAAGAACATATAGCATCCACATTGCATTAGAAGTGATGAAGAGAGAACAACAGAACATCTGTGGATTATATTTATTCGGAAAAATATAATTTGCTGACCAAAATGATTGAAGTATGCTGACCAAGCATTTCTGGTTCGAATTTTTTCTTCAAATTGCATATAATAATAATAATAATATATTTATTGTTTCTTAAAACATTACAGTTTTACAACAAGGGGTTCATGTTATGTGTCGATAGGCTGTTTACAAGTAGTTATGCTTACAAAGAAATATTAGACGGCTAGATATGAAAAACAAACTGACAAAATGAGAGAAAAAAAAAAAAAAAGTGAGAATATTCAAGATAAGCACACAATTTTAGTAGAATTAATATCCTGATTTTCTGTAACCTATATGAAATTATTCATTTAATGCATATTTGGATATTCTATGTGAATATATAGATGCCACCAGTGAAATGATTCCCATCCACCCCGTCGGAGGGGTAGTTTATTCTTGCAGATTTTCAAAAACCCTTGCTGACCGAGCATTTCTGGTTCGTATTTTTTCATCAAATTACATATTTGGATATCTCATATAGATTTATAGATGCCACCAGTGGAATTATTTCGATCCACCCCTTCAGAGGGGTAGTTTAATCTTGCTATTTTTCGAAAATCCGTGCTGACCGAGCATTTCTGGTCCGTATTTTTCCATCAAGCCACCCCCTGAAGGGGTGGATCGAAATAATTCCACTGGTGGCATCAATAAATCTAAATTGGATATCCAAATATTATGTAATTTGATAGAAAAATACGAACCAGAATGAGTGATTTTAGTCTACAAATGAGTTACAGGATGTTTTCATTAATTGATCTTGAATCTACCATTTTCATGTTCAGTTTTCAGTAGTGAATACCATGTTCTATCTATATCAACTGAACGGAGACAATAGCATTGCTTCCTGTTCATTCATATGCCAACATGAGTATGACACTGAGAAGTGTCAAACTATAAGCAGAGCACAACAATGAAAAATATTTTGCTTTTTTATGTTGAGAACGGGAGCAGATTCGTTCCCAAAACGTCCAAAGATAAGTAAAAATTCGATATTTTTTCAATATATCTATATTTTTTTCCTACAACAATTTTTTCAGACAAAGTGTCACTGTTACGTGTTTATGGAAAATTACCATTGTTACTTCGAAAATAACGTCAGCAAACATCTTTGTCATGATTTTTGCCCAGTGGGGATAACCTTCAAAATGAAGATCTTATCACAATCTTATCATCCATTATTATTATTTTTTCATATTTTATCGTTCCTTTGCCATTATGGGGATTTGAAAGCCCATCAATGGAATAAATGCCTGGAGTGTCCTGTTCTTGATGCTCCCGCACCAATGTATTGGGCCTTCATTTTACCGCAAATGAATGTTTGTTGGGCTTCTGGAAGTTGCAAACTGTCTTTTTGTTTCACAGATCAACCAACCATCAACCAAACCAACTCGAATGTAGTAGATGGTATCAACTTGGACGAGATCAAAGATTTTGCCAAAGCCTTCAAGCTGAGGAGACTATCGTTAGGTCTGACGCAGACTCAAGTGGGACAAGCACTCAGTGTTACAGAAGGGCCTGCTTACAGTCAAAGTGCCATTTGCAGGTAAATTCGACTATACAAATTAAACAATGAACGCTTTTGACCATGCAATTGCTATTGGTTGCATGTTTTCGAACGTTCTCTCAGTTTGGCAACAATTTTTGGCTTCTGCGTCGTAAATGTCATCATCAATGTCAACTATTACATCTGTTGATGGTACCGGTAATTTCATATACCTTCGAGATTCTCAATGAATAACATTTTATTCCCACTACTCCTCATTCATACATTCATTGAACAATTCAGAAATGACTAATCAAATGAACAGGTGATAGAGTTCAGGAATTTACATTTCACAGTAACACTGTGTGGTGTGGATTAAAATTTTCTTATATCATTGACAGTAACGACAATTAATTTGATCAATGAGGAATTGTTGCCAACCTATAAGAACGCCCTATCAAGAATAAAGAACTGATTCATATTTATTGCATTTGGTCGATCAGAAGTAGGTTTTCTAGTGTGTATTCTATCTTCCATCACCAGTATCGGAAGTGCTATAGTATGTGATTCACTTTTTCTGCAACATTCATCACAATTTTACACACATTTTTTTTATATAGGGTGATTCATTAAGAATGGGCAATCTCTGAACTACAGAAAGTGAACACTAAAATATGAATTTGAAAACTTCACAAACGGATATGATTTCCACAAACCTCTCAAATACACGACATGTTTCGCTAACACAGTAGCTTCAATGAACTTAACTATAACCTTGGCTTGCCGAACTTTTATATATCCAACTTTTCCAACCTGAAGGATTAGTTACCTGTGGGCAGGTTCGATAAACCTTCATTTTTGGAACTAAGGACATTAAAGGACAGTGTACTGGATTAACTTGAGAGGGTTAATAGCAAATACCTATTATTACCTACAAAGAAAACAAACTCGACAGTGGTGAAATATTGAGGTATAGTTGAACGTTAAGTAAAATGTCAGAATTTTTGGGTTTGTTGATTTCTAATGATTCAAAGTAATTGAGTCTTATTCCTTCACTTTCTACGTATAGAATTTCGAAATTATCATCGATACTATGGTTTTCTCCTAATATATGGCGTATGTTGAATTGAACGTTCATGAATGCGCTGATTGAACGTACGACCTTTCTGACCGATATATACCTTAGGACAAGATCCACAATAATTGAGTTTGTATACCCGTGATTTTTCGAATTCCGAAGTTTTCTCTTCATTATTTTTGATGAACCTTCTCAGCGTGTTATTTGTTCCATATGCTACTTCAAAGTCCTGTTTATGTAGTAATAAAGCTAATTCTTTCGTTATAGAAATGAAGTTATTATAGATATTGGAGCATATCGATCCATTGTTTTCAATTTAATAGGAGTTTTGTTGAGAAAAATGTTCGACTTATAGTTTATTCGTTATACGGATGACAATATAAGATTTATTCAATTCCTCCTGTTCCAAGAATCAATCAAGTCTAACCTCCTATTTTCCACGAAATAAAAAAACGTTATCGCATCTTAACATAGAGAAAGAAAATAATGTAATTTCTTGGAATGAAGCTAATTCATTTCTTGAATTTGCGAACAAAACAATACGAGCTATTCAAATTGTTTATTTCGATTCCACCAGGCGCAACAGGTGAAAACATATTTTATATATTCCATTGAATCAAACAGCACTAACGGCATATTAGCTGAAACTAACACGTATAAAATATATTGTTCGAATGTCGAAAATGGAATTGAACGGCTCATTAGGTCTGTTATTCAATTTTGAATTGATTCTCTGTCGCTTTTGCAACATGGACATGGCTGTTGAAATTTCACAGACCTGGAAAAGGATAGATTATTGGAACGTACCGTCGTCTTCAGAGATTATGTCGCGGTTAGAAGGTGTCAGCGTTCTTATTGCAGGAGTTGTGTGCGACATGTTTTCTGAAGACGACTGTACAGAAAATACCGTTAAGGAAATCTTATGTCTACATAAACCATCTGTTAGATCTTCTGGAGTAATTTATTTTGATAAAATAAATGAATGGTTCATTCTACACTTCAAACTAAGAACATGGTTACACTTGGAACGAGATACACTGTATATTTTATCACATTTAACCGTTACCAGTGTTATCACCGATGCAATAAGGCCTGCACGTTCCGAGGTGACGTCACTCTAAGAAGGTCAAATTCCAATTCCAGTTTTTAGATCATTTTTTGAATCGATTCTGCTGGTAGCTCTGGTCAAAAGAGAAAACGAAGTTTCAAAGAAAAAACAAAACAGAAATACAAATAGGTTCCAAGCTAAACCAAATGAAATATATTGACGAAATTGGTAGTGATTCAATTATTTTTATGATGAGTTAGTAACTTCACATATAAAGGATTCGCAAAATAGTAGTTTACCTAACACGTGAGGAAAACTCCGCAAGTAGCGGAGTTCGGCCAGCAATAGGCCTCAATTGATTATTATAATTCATGTTCTCTGTACGAAATTCGCAATAAATTCTTCAAGTGTTATATATAGCAACAAACCTGCCGAATGAGTTTAACCGGCTTGCCATGGCTATAATTTTTATGATATTCTTGGTTTTCTCCAACAGTAATTGAATTCTGAGCCCTTTTCCTTCGACAGTTGTCGATAACATATAATGTGATATCGTCCTCCTGAAAGTTGACGATGTTAAGACCTAACCTAACTTCTAAATTTTCCTAGTAAAATGGGTTGCGTGCAAGAACTGTCAGATGACCGACAGGCAAAATATTGAAACACAACGTCACTTTTCTCTGATTTCTCATCGGAATTCTTTCTGCGATAAAAGCTAATAGAAATACATCTGAAATTTCTAAAATAATGCCAGAAAATTGGATTCATGCAATCAATCGGGAGGACTGGTCTGACATGCTGACGATCGTGTGTGTTGTAGACATTTTCAATCTATTAGCAGTATTAGCTTGTATTGCAGAAGTGACAGAAGGCAGAAGGAATTTTAATAAGGAATGACAACATTTCATAATGATAACTATGTGAGATTACTATTCACCTGAAAAATCGTATTCTTTTAGTCTCTTGCTGCATTTTTTGTGCATTGTACAACAGCACAATGCGAAGGCATGCTCGAATTGATGAATAGCGCAAAAAATACGATTCGTATGACAAAATATTGTGAAAAACTATTTCAATCCTTTGATTGCTCTGTAACCAAGTAAAAAAGTGAGGTTGTTTTTCAATAATTCACAGAAGAATGAGGTTGTGTTTCATTATTTTGCCTCCAGGGTTGGTCATCGTGCACGCGACCTATATTTTGCCTCCAGGGTCGGTCATCGTGCACGCGACCTATATCGTTATCGACTCTTTTTCATCTCCCGACCATGCAAATATGATTCCACATCACAACACAACAATCATAACAGAATTAATAATTATTATGGGCCAGAGAGAATGAGACTGTTTAAACAATTTGACTTAGATATTGATAATGTTGAATCAATTTCCGGGCAACTGAAACAATCAACATTTTTTGAAAGTCTGTGTAGCAATTTTTGGTGATACCCGAAATCAGATCCATTTTTGAAAATTATTGCCTCTAGAGTATATCACTTTGCATTACAACGCGCAGGTGATTTTACGTATTTCGAATTATAAAATGGAGATTGAATTTTTTGTAATCTCTTGGAGCTCACGAAATAGAATCCCTATAATATTCGCAGAACATCGTGCGTACCTGAATAATAAGAGCAACTCCTCTGAACTTTGGAATTTTCAAATATATTGTTACCGTTTTGAAACTTCAAAACATCGTTCTGAACCTCCAAAAAATTGTACGAGGTGAAACAAATGAATATCGCTGATATTAGAAATAGGTATCAACTTCTCTATTTCCAATGATATACACTATATATTTTCCGAAACAGTTTAAAATATTCAATTTGTTGATATTCAGTTAAGCCATTTATGAAATATTCTACTCTGGTGAACATCACTTATGAAGCATTGTTTTCTAGTAAAAACAAAAGATTTCACATAATATAATTTATTTTGATGAATATCCAATCAAGGAATTTGATCGTGCCTTAGTAAACAAATCAAAATCGAGACGAGTACCAGAGTTTCGTGAACAAATGGCCTACTATAGGTGACGTCACCTGGTGCTTACGTCAAATCATTGCAGCCTCAATGCATCGGTGGTAACAACTCTGCCTGTTGCACCTTTAGAACCCTTCCGATCGTCCTCCTCACCCTCCAGACTTAACACGTATTGACGTAAGTAACTGTAATGGTTTGTTCCCAGTGCCCTGGCTTCTCAGATGTTTGCCGCAGCGCAACTTTCTACACAGCAGCAAGCAATGTACGTTTTTAACCTATTACTTACTAGAAATAATCTAGATCGTTCGTCCCATTTTCAAAAGTGCAACCTCAAATCACATTCAAACGCGAAATCATCAATAAATATTACCGGACAGTTGGGAATCGCTTTTTATTTCCAAAGTGACACTTTCAATGTTTCCGAAAGACAACCAAATATTTTGAGTCAATATTTGCAGGTATATTTTATTGCTATACAGTCATAATATAACCTGAGTATGAAATTATCTGCTAAGAGAAAAACGTTCAAGTAGGTTCACCTTCATATGAAATTGCATAGTTCTTCAATGTCATTTGATGTCCCTTCCAAAATCTCGTAGTATATTGGACAACATCATGGTCATTGAAAAACAACTGAATTTCAATTCCAGAGTTGTACAATTCAGACATATATGAGACCTTTTGTAACAATTTCTCACATTGAATTGAATAGAAAAACAATTGATATTGGATAGGGATATATCTACAGTTTGGTTGCATTTTTGGTATGGTTTATCTTTCATGTTGCATAATAATTGTAATTTTAGCGCCAGGGCACTGGCATTCAGAACATTCGAATTTACATAAATTTTCTTTCTAGTATGCTAGTGTCCTGTGCCAAAACACAACAATGCATTCAGCGATGAGATTAACTTTTCATTTCTATTTGCTTAGGTTCGAAAAACTCGACATAACGCCAAAGAGTGCGCAGAAAATCAAGCCAGTTCTGGAGAGGTGGATGAAAGAAGCTGAAGATAGGTTAGTAATGATCATTTATACAGGGTGTCCAATGAGTCATGGATCAAAAGAAGTGGGGTGGTATGGAGGTCATTTGCAATCAAACTAACGGTATATTTGGTTATCAAATTGTTGATTGTTGAGAAGTTATTCAAGTTTTCTGAAAAACGCGAACTATTTGAAAAAAATTAATAACAAAAAGGCTGTTTTGAATTACCCCAAATGGTATACCATTTCAGAATCCGTATTAAATGTAAATGTAACGAGTGTAATAAACGTCCTTTTAGTAACGAGTATTTTAAGCACGAGCGGAGCAGAGCGGAGCGAGTGTTTATAATAAACGAGTATCTAGAAGAGTTTATAAACGCGTTACATACTATGCTTTTTCTACGAACTCGCAGAATTACATTAACATACCTGCTATTCCTGCTAACCCACAAAATAATACGAAAGGAATGGGAATTGAGAACATAATAGATGCAACTGATGCATGCAACCAGCGAGACACGTATAAGTGATATTGGTTGTAGATGTGTCCAGTTCATTGCTTTTTAACCTTTGTTTCACGTTTATTGTCATGCTTAGAGCAGAATAAATAAATTGTTCTCAAAGATGGATGCTTCATTTTTACACTTCTTGGAGATACGCACGTACCAAAACATTCTCTTCGATTTCACTTCCTTATTTTATATTTCGCATATATTTTCAATGGAAAATTCTGGTACGAACGAAAATTGTTTGAATAATTCTGATACAAAATTCGAAAATGACACTTGACAGTTAATACTATTGACAGACCAGACATGTCCCAAATTACTGAAGCTGTGTTCAATGAACTGTGTTGCCATGGTAATGTGTTTAAGAAATCGTGTTTCCATGGTAACGTGTTTAATATTTTGAATAAATCACAGATCGACAATATCCGTAATTAATCGATTATTTAGCGTGGTACATATCCGTAAAAAATAATTTCTTGGGAAAGGTGCAAAAAAACAAATGTGACATAGTTTCATTGTAATTGATTTCTTTTTTCCAGAAATGACAAAAATTAATAACTTTCAAACCATCAACAATTCGATAACCACATATTATATGGTTAGTATGATTGGAATTCCTTTGATCCATGACTTATGGGACACCCTGTATAAATGAACTATTCAAATTCGAAACACATTCACAGAATACCTAGTTACCAACTTATGTAATTGTACATGCAGTTCACACCATGCGAACGGATAAATTCATTATCTCCATTATTAGGCATTTTCAAGAAAAACCCTGAAACACTTCGATTTGTGTTTTTGAAAAGACACTCTGTGACATAAAAATAATTTTCCCCCATCAACATCCTTCAACGTGACAACAGACCCCCTCTCCAATTTTTCTAAATGAAATAGGGGGTTGAGAGTGTTGAGACCTTATTTGACGCTTGATTTAAATTAAAAAATGATATGGCTGTATTTATACTTGAATAGACTGCAGAATGAGGTATCACTCAACTCCCTATTCCATTTTAAAAAATTTGGGGGGTGGTTGTCACGTTGATGGGGGTGAAGGAGGGGGTTTATTTTTTATGTCATAAAATGTCTTTTCAACAACATGGATAATGTGGAAAATTAATCTTTCCGTTACATATGGTAAAATTTACGAAAACTTGTAAGTATGTTATTTAGGTTATAACCCTATTTTCATTTATAAATATTGGAGACACATCATTTTAACATAATCAAGATATACTTTTATTAAGGCCAAAACTTGATAAATACTTTTCAAAATACCTATTTGCATTTAAGGAATCAGTATGAATAATTTCACTCAGTAAGTTTTTGACAGCTTGAAAATATTAACAAATCTATGTATTTACATAGTAGGCGAACGTCAAGGACAAGATATTCAACACAATAAATTTTGTCGAATCAATGATTTTTTTCTGCGTCTACTTGAATTCAATTAAAATATCCTAAATTTTGAGTATTGATGTTTCACATTGTCTGGTTATGTTTTGATATACTGTCCAAGCACTCATTTCATTCGTGCATTATGATGATTTATTTAAGTCTTTCCAGGTATAAAAGTGGCCAGAATCATCTGACAGACTTCATAGGAATGGAACCTTCCAAGAAAAGAAAACGAAGAACATCCTTCACTCCACAGGCTTTGGAGTTACTCAATGCCCATTTTGAGAGGAACACACATCCTTCAGGTTAGTTACCTGACAAAGCTTTTATTTGAGGAAACAGTAGTCTCCTTCCGAAAACTATACTTTCAATGAAAAAGGATCATTTAGGCCAAATGAGGTTAGATTGTTTAAAAAAAGTTGTCAGTCCCTTTTTTAAGATATGATCCTTCCACACGAATTTGTTAAGAGATGGAACGGTTTCAAATAATATATATATACTTTATAGGAAGAAGGTTCATTAAGACCGAGTAAGGTTGAATTGTTTAGAAATAGTGGTTTTTTTTACGAAAAACCTACTTTCTATATGAAGATAGTCCATTTAGGCCAAGTGAGGTTAGATTGTTTGAAAAAAGAAAAAGAGCGTTTCCTATCAACAAGTTCAATCCGCGCTCAATTGACCCATAATAACGAAGGTAACTCCCGCCCAATCGTCCTAAACATTCTCTACTACCTCCTAAGTCTCCGTACTCCACCATTTTTGAGAAGGGAATTTAATCAGGTATATGAGACTCTACTCGTGTCTGCCCAAGAAACATTGATTTTGACATCAGTGCGAGGGTTTCTTTCCGAATTTTTGTTGTTTCTCACGTATTTTTGTCTGAGAAACAAGAATTCCGTAATGCAAATATAAACAAACCACTATTATCGAGAGAGGTATATCAAGAAAAAGTTTGAAATTTCACCTTCTTTTTTCTCCGGTCTCGGATACCCATTCACAACTACTTATTATTGCCTTCTTTCATCATTGGAAAATTTCCATACTCACGATGTACCTGCTTCAATGATACAATTTATATAGGTACGAGAAAAATATGACACAACAATTATTATTTCAAATCAAGTGTAAAAAATATTGAGGAAGGGAGAATATCAATCCGATTACAAAATGATGGCAGGTGTCATTCAGAAACAATTGGTCTAGAGTAAAATGACTGAATGAATATTGAATTTTCACATATATTTCTTGTTGATTTCCATATAATTATGAAATTTCATTGAATATATCGTGACGGTTTGAAGTATGTCCAATGATGGAAGAGAATAGTATCTGTAAATACGTATTCAAGATGAGTAGAGAAGAGAAGGTGAAATTTCGAAATATCTCGATGAATAATGGTTTTTTCACGTTTTCATTATAAAATAAATACTTAACAACAGTTAAATACTTTGTTGGTTGCAGAAAAAACAGTGCACGCAACACGCTCAAAAAATGATGGTTTTTGACTTGCAAACTTTCTGCACGTGCTGAAGCGAGGCAAGGACCTCAAATGTTATGCCACCAATTTTGTGTATTTTTTTATAGAAAACTCCATTTTGTGTTTACCCAATGTCAGTGTCATTTTTGATTAACGATTTCATTCGAATTACTTGGAACGTTGTAGAGCAACAAACTTTATCTGCCTAGGCGAAGAAAGTAAAACTTTTCTGACTGTCAAGCGTCAGAGAAAAATCACTGTCTATGCCGCTTTGAGAAAAATGAAATTGTTACATCGAATTAGAATACGTTTCTTCAGTAGGTTGCAGAAAAAATGCACGCCTGTAGTTGATGAAAAAAACTTAAGGACAGAATAACAGGGAACTTCATGTCTCCAATCGAGAGATACGTTTTCACTATCTCAGAAGATATACAGAGAGCAAGAGTGGCAAAATGTGTTTTAACTCCTAATTTCGATTATATTTTCTACTTCTGAACTTATGAGCATCCAAAACTAACAAAATTTTATTGATTTGTCAACGATTTTCGAAAGAACATATTGACAATCATTAAAAATCCAGGTATATTCGCTATATCGCTAGCTATGACATTTAATTCTGATTGGTTGTTATCACTGAAAATCAATTAATCATTGCCATTGCGTCTTTTCGATAATCATCAACAAAATCGAATAAACTCTGTTAACTCTGAAAGACCATGTTTTGATAAATACAATGTACAAAAGATTAAATATATTGGATGCGGAGTGTTTTCAAAAAGCACGTCAAAGTGGCTTCATAACGTGTCACTCGATTACAAAAATCCCAAGATTTTTGATCACTTGTTAATACTACATTTCATTTTCAGGTACTGAAATTACTGGTCTAGCTCATCAACTAGGATACGAAAGAGAAGTGATACGAATTTGGTTCTGTAATAAAAGACAAGCATTGAAAAACACTGTGCGGATGATGTCGAAAGGAATGGTTTAAATGTATGCCCTTCGATTAATTTATTTTAGCAATTAATGATTGTAAATAATAAACAAATAAAAATAATGAAGACAATTTGGAAATCAAATGAAAATAATTGAATCACTGGCCGGAAGAGTGTAAGGAATATTCATATTTCTTAAACTCTGCTGATATATAGCACGTTTGAAGTAGGCATCAGGTTGATATAGAGGTTTCAAATTGATACAACTTCTTTATGAAGCAAATTTGAAATCATGATTGTAAAGAATTCAATTTTCCATCAAAATTTGCCAATATATTTTGAATTGAGAGTAATCATAGACTCATCATCTCAAAGGGACATAATTTTCGGTTATGCCAAAGGTGCAACAAACTAGACGATTTACATTCACGCTATGACTGCTATGACTTGTTCTAATCAAAATAAAATTGAACCTCTAAATACGCGGCCTACTTTGTTCTCCTCATGAATTATGATAAGAGAACAAAAAATATTTTCGACTGAACAATTCGAATTTGATTTTGATTTGAATACTGCAGTGAATTAGAGAATATATGCCTATATACCTACTTATAAATGATCCACAGTTGTTTCAATATTTTCTCAACTTAAATCTCCTTTAGCAACAAAGATGAAGAGGAAACTTAAGCAAACTCGAAGTATTCCCTATATCCTTGTAGAGAAATTTATCTTTCCAAGACCGAATTTGTATACGCTCCATTGTTTGAAATGTACATATAGGTTTATCTAAAAAATTGTACAGGAATATAAATTTATCTGATGCGTTCTTGTATACGAAAGGCTACATCTGATGATGTCTTCACCTGTGACACTAGGAAATAGAAAATGTTCATTCGAAATAAAACTGGATGTTTTAATTTAGATGCCATGTAGATTGTTTGTGCATTCGTTCCCTGATCTCAAGTCGATTACCTAATTTGAAGTGAATCACACTGAACATGTCAAAAAATTTTAAACTTAGGAACCCAGTCATCTCCTCAACTTTCATTTGACAGAGACTTCTTTCAAAGATTTTTATCTAATTTCAACTTCTAATAAACACAGTCAGTATTCATGAAAATATTTGTTATGAAATCCAATGGAAATGTATGTGATTTTCCTCCTTAGCAAGTTGCATTCAAGTCTAAAATCTCTAGTGATCAAATCATATATCGAAAAACTGTGGATCAGAATGACATTGTTTTAGCATTCACTTCAAATATAGTAGGTACCTTCATATTCATGTAAATTTGTATATAGTCCAATGAGGAGATTTTTGCTAATCTCTGAAGAAACCAAAGTTCCTATTAGAATTAAGATCTGTAAATATTTTACAAAGTGTAATGAGTATGAGTAGTTTATGTAAGAAATGAGTCATGTTGTGTCCATAGATATTAAATATAAGTATACCGTGGAATATTATAATAACAAACAACTTGTAAGATATGATATGCGTATTGTATGTGGATGATACTTGTTCGTAATTGTAGGTATGAAAATAAAAGATTCACTCTTTCTCTTCGTTCTTTTTCCCAATCATTCCTCAAAAGTTATTGAGATATAATAAATAATTGCCATGAAGAGTATAGGTATTGAGGGCACTGATATACACTTACCGGCAAAAAAATTCTGCCAGATGAAAAAATGCGAAATTGATTGCTCTGTAACTTTTTTAATTCTCATTCAATTTTGGCGAAATTCTGACCAAATCGAACATTCATGTTTGAAAATGTTTACCTGTATTTCAGTTCACAGAAAAAGCTGATGGCTTAGTCATTATACTGGGAAAAACAAAAGTTTCTATTTCACGTTTAAATTCTCGACGTCCTGTGGCAGAAGTGAGTGATTAAACTTAGCTTCATCATGTTTTATATTGAAGTACCGTAAAACGGGATAACTTTGCATCTCCAGGTAACTTTGCCATGAGTTCCAGAAAAATCTGGAAAACATTTCCATTTTTCAGCTCTTAAATGCTAAATAGGCATGACTTCGCCTGATGGCACAGTCGTAATTCAATAAAAAAGCGTACGAGTGTTAAAAAGAGAGGTTTACAGCATCCTAGTTCTAGTTGTGTGAAACTGGCTCAGCCAATGTTCTGTGTTTTTGAGAACCTATGACAAGTTTACTGTCAACATTTGGTAAACAATCATTCCCGATAGCCCACTTCACGCAAATAGAATGACGTTCATTTCTCTCTGTAATATACTTGTACGCTTTTTTTTTTAACCCATTAGTGCATGAAGTTACTTTTTTTCAAATCTCTATATTCTGAAGATGTTTACTCATTCAAATATACCCAAAGAATGATAACTCATGACGAATAATTTTGTTTTACAACAGATTTTTTTTATATGACACGTCCATTTTAATGGACTCTATGCAAATTGGTTCATTGATGAAAGTGATCAGTAGGGAATTTCAGTATTCATTTTTATTCAAGTACATATCCAGAACATGAAAAACTCAATAACATCAATCACAATATTATCAATAATAATAATAATGATAATAGTAATGAAAATTATACATCATGATGACTTGATACATTTTGAAGAATCTCTCAGATGCAGTCCTATTTTACATATGAAATTGCAATTTTGTATACTCTACTGAATGGAATTCAGCTGATGGGTATATGGAAATGCATCATATCAAGAAATTATTTGGGATGATACTTCCAGACCTTTTTTCGGTGCTCCTCACACGATCCAGTGGAAGGAAATGTGAACCCGTTGAAGAAAAAGAGGAGTCGAACGAGTGGATGGAGTCGTGTCTATAGTTGTCGTGCTGCAGTATAACGTACAATCATTTGATGCTATAATATTCCTTTTCATAATGCAAAGATGTATATTATTTTCAATTTCATCAGAATCAGGATCAGAATAAAGAAAGTCGCAGGGCTGTTTGATAATTCCTTTAGAAATATGATTTATTATGGATTCGCAGTTTCTAAATTCGAATAACTGCATTTCTGCCAACTTTTCTTCTGGAGGCAATATAATATATGATTATCTGTTGGTTGATCGATATCTGGGCCATTTTCCATATGTCTAAGAGGTGTTGCAAGAATGATCTACAAAAAAATCTTGATGACCGATATGCATAGAGTCCATTATAATGGGCACAACACAAAAGCAATATTTTGAGTGTCTTACAAAAAAAATAATTATTCGAATTACCTTATAGGTTCATAAACACATGCATATAATGAGATCTTGAGGGATAGGAAATTCTGAAATTCATTATACTCCGTAATAATAAATACTTACCCTCCTTGTCGGGTGCAATACAAATTGTTTTTGTTATCCATTTGATCACGTGCAGAATATTGTCGAGATACAAATTCATGAAATAGAAGCGATAGCTGTTTGTTGTTGAACTACACTTATAGTTATGGCGCATGAGACATTCAATTCCTGCATGATTGACGTCACAAAAAATTAGATAAGGAGCGTCCATTATAAGACACATTATGCACTAATGGGTTAATACAGCTGTGCTTGAGGATCCTCTGTTAGTCTGATATCAATAGATTTCAGATAGCTCAATAGGCTAGAGCTCTAGGTGCCGAAAATCACCTGCCTATTTGGAGGGAGTTTTTTTTATACGTGCGATAGTTGGTTCCGTAAGTATTTTCTGGAATGTGTCATCTCAATATCTCCTTAGTAGTGACCTCAACATGCCTATTATCATCGATCTTACAGGTTTTCAAAACAAAATATCTATAACTTGATGAATTTTTGGGGGTTAGCAAAGTTCCACGATATAATTTCTTCAATTCCGGGTTCATTTTGCCATACATTCATTTCTTGATTTGCAGGTCCGTAATATGTCTAGGGAATACAGAAAGTACTGAGGAGTCGTTACTATGTGAATTAAACTCCTAAAACATTGGAACAGACTGTTAATGCAATAAAAAATGGCATTTCGATGTAAGAGAGCGTCAAAACTATTCAATTTACCAAGGACACAGCACAGAACCTTAGATAGAAGGTTCATCAACGTCATACTGGTAAATATAGTGAACCAACTGAGCTGAGTAAATATATGAGAGGCAGCTTGGGACGTGATCTTTGCCTGTGTGCTGAATATGAGTGCCTCTTATTCACTCCTCTTTCATTGATTTCATTGTTTTTTCAATATATCGTTTTTTTCAATACGCGAACTTGTTTTTTTTATAAATTATTGAATTCTTTATGAGTTTTGTTGAAGATGAAGACTCGATATGGGATTCAGCACATGTTAGACACACTAAAACGCATTTTTATCAAAAATCTGTGTTTATTTCATTCTCGTTGTGAAGCCACTGTTATATACTGATGGGTGGATGGCAAAGTATCTCATCTGAGGAATCAACTTTGCCAAAAATGAATTTTAATATGTACTTAACATCACATGGCAAAGTATATAACTACAAGTCGTGTGGATACTTTGCCAATTTCAAATTTCTAAAATAAAATATTCTCTCCATACCTACTTCAGATTAAGTCATATCATATCAGTTCAATCAGTTGCATGAAGAAAGAGCCAAATTTGAACATACTTCTTAGGCGAATACATATCATGCACCATTCAATAATAATTATATTTGCAAAAAAACCTGATATTTCTGGCAAAGTTACCACTTTTTACGGTATGATCCCTTCTTAACAGAATGGATTTTGATTCACAAGCATTCAACCGCCGTGACATCGAGTTGATCGAATCTCTCGAGCAGTCTTGAGGAATTGCCTCATATTATATTCTCCTTGAAGGGCGAATCGTTGTTCTTGAGGAGTATCTGACAAGGCCAGACGAAGGCGAATGGGCCTGTGGGGTTTGACGATTTGTCCCAAAAAATGTCGTTGGTTCTGACTCATTGTTGATGAAAAGTTAAAAAAATCTATACTTTTTCAAAACACCTCTGTATCTTCTCTTATTGAAGAGGAGATTTTGACGAGAATCAAGAACTATCGTGTCAAGAAAGGACGAAGAGGCATCACACATCAATTCATAACAAGATGAAACAGAAGGTTCTGAAAAATTTTTGATGTGAATTTAATAATATCACCCGAAAGAATATAATGAGATTAATCACCAAGCCATCAGCTTCTTTTAAGAATCAGAATTCAGGCTAACACCACGTCACATATTGATCTACGACCTGGTCGAAGTTTTATCAGAATCGGACAAGGATACAAAAATTACAGGGCGATCAATTTGACAAAATTTTTCAATGACCGGTTTTTTGCCTGCCGGTATGGGTATAAGGGTAGTTGAGCATTGTTCAAATCGGACATTGCTTGATGGGCATATTGGGAGTAGGAATGGACAACTAAAATGCGTGATTTGAGTTTGAAATATGCATATAAGTGAAATATCGTAGTGACATAAGTACCATATGCCATCAGTGGCGGATCCAGAGTATACCGGTTAGGGAAATGGGGTAATGAATATAAAAAGTAATATACGAATTTGCTTATAATAGACAAAATCATGACATAACACAAATGGTTAATGTTGTTATGTCAACGAGGATTGAAGAGGGAGATGATGAGCTCCTTTATTACTCCTCCTTGGTTACCAATCACTTCTCCCTTGGTATATGTGAGGCGATGTGTGTATATATATCCATCATTTTTAGCTCATTTCTTCTGTGAGAAAATTGGTTGATCTTGAATTTCTGAGAGTCTTTTGATCATATCATCCTAACTGCTTTGATCCTAATGCTACACGCATTAGGAAGAATGTTCAATATGTATGTAGCCATTCTATTTCTCTCATTTTTTCTCTCCAGATCAACGTGAAGAGCTGATTGATTACGACTTTGTGAGGCTGTTAAATCGTTTCGTAATGAGTCAATCTTTATTTATAGCCATTGTTTTCTCTCATTCATTTCGACCTTTTCATTATGAGAAATTGATTGGTCTTGTTTTTTCGAGATTCTCTCTATCATATTTTTCCAATTGCTATGATATGTATAAGTTCATGTTCATAAATCCATTTTTTTCTGTCTTTTCGTTCTATTTTCTGTAAGGAAATCGAAGTGAAGAATTCATTGTTTTTTTGATTGACATATATTTTTCTTATTCAAACTTTCAAGGTCAATAACTACTAACATTATTTTGGTCCTCTTTCGTTTGAGACATGACCTTTCCGAACACCATGTATATTGTATATTATAGATCACAGGTTTGTACACCATCCTACAATATCGTTCAGCTTGAAAACTCTTCAAAATATATAAAAAAAAACTGAAAAGAAAAAGTTAGTTGGAACCGAGACGGCATACGTGTATATTTAAAAAGATATATCTGGAATCAAAACTGCATTTTCCCTTCAACCAATGACAGTGACCTGAATCACATCACGATCACGTCATCGCGTGTTCAAAAAGAATATCCTCAGAATATTCGAAAAGAATATTCTGAGAGTATGTCAAATTGAAGGTTCAAAGCATATTCTTTGCCGAATGAGAATATTCAATGATAATTCTGAGAACATTCTTTAAGAATAATATACTGATATGGCTGTTCAA